AAAGCGACCTTTAATTCTTTGAAGGTTTCTTATAACAACGTATTCCGTAGACTTTTTGACTATCCATATGACCACAGTGCCAGATCCATGTTTGTTGCTAACCGTGTCAAATCATTTTATGAAACTTACAGGAATATAGTATATAAATTTAGAGAGCGTGCATGCTCGTCCAACAACAGTATATTAACTAGTTTATGGAACAGTGATTTGAGATGGAAGTCAGCCTTGTTGCAACGTTGGAATGAAATGCTGAACTGAGATGCTATGTGCAATTATGTAATAGCAAGCGAACTATCATTTCCTGTTTATGTTTGTTGTTCTTTCTAGTATTTATTTACTATTATTATTATTATTATTTTTTGTGTGTATGTGTGGATATGGACTTATTAGTCTTATTACCACCCGAAGCCATCGCCCATTGTTTAACGGTTTAAGTTCAATTCGCTAGTTAGAAAACCGGGTCAGTCTGTTGCTGAGTTTGTAGCAGATCTCGGACATATCGCTGAACACTGTGATTATGGGGCTACTTTGCAAGAGATGCTACGGGATAGGCTGGTATGTGGCATCCAGGATGATCGCATACAGAGAAGGCTACTGTCCGAATCAGCACTTGATTTCAAGAAAGCCATGTAACTTGTGCAAGGTATTGAAATTGCAACGAAAAATGCAACAGATATTCAAGTATTGAAAGCAGCCACTCCACAAGGGAGGGAAGAGAAAGTTCACACAATTCAAGAGGTCAAACCCAAGAAAACGAACCAGAATAAACAGAGAGGTTCTGGTAGTCATGGAAACCACAGTGGTAACAACCAAGGTAATACCAAACCATGTTACCGGGGAAATATCATTCACAGGAAATGTGTCGTTTCAAAGATTCTGAATGTCATCATTGTCACAAGAAAGGACACATTGCCAAAGCATGCAGAAGTAAACAACATGGTAAACAAGCATGGAAACGAAAGGATGATCAACATGGAACAAACTTAGTACAAAGTGACATTAGTTCAGAAACTCTTGACACTAGTTATACACTTTTCAATGTTGTGGGGTCAGATCAAGAGAAAGTGCATAGAAACATATGTTAATGTTTTAGGTAAAATACCAGCTCTTAGTAAATTTACCTCTGTGCTCAGTACATATACTGGTGAGAAAATCAGAGTATTGGGTGCAATGAATGTTCATGCTAGGTATGATAGTCAAAGTGCTACTGTTCCAATCCTAGTAGTTGAAGGATGTGGTGCAAAATTATTAGGCCGAAATTGGTTGAAGGTATTCAAACTAAAATGGGCTGATATTTGTCATATTAAGAGTTCACAGTTTCATGAAACACTGGTGGACAAGTATGCTGAAGTCTTTCAAGAAGGGTTAGGCACTGTTAGGAAAATGTTCGGGAAAATTCATGTAGACCCAAATGCCCAACCAAAATTCTTCAAGCCTCGCCAAGTACCATATGCGATGAAAGCAAAAGTTAACCTAGAATTGGATCGACTTCTCTGTGATGGAATCATAGAGCCAGTTGAGTTCTCTGACTGGGCCACACCTATTGTCCCTGTTCTGAAGGGTAATGGAAATGTCCGTATTTGTGGGGATTATTTGTAACGATAAACCAGGTGTCAAAGGTCAACACATATCCAATTCCAAGAATTGAAGATTTATATGCTACATTGAGTGGAGGAAAAACCTTTACCAAGCTTGACTTAAGCAATGCATATCTACAACTTCCTCTGGATGAAGATTCCAAGAAATATACCACAATAAATACACTCCATGGTCTCTTCTAGTATAACCGCCTCCCATTTGGTGTTTCTTCATCACCGTCGATATGGCAGAAATGTATGGACAGTCTATTGCAAGGTATACCACATGTCTGTGTATACATTGATGATATTCTGATTACTGGGGAGTCAGAATCTGAACATTCGCAAAATTTAGAGACAGTTCTGTGCAAGTTATCCGAAGCGGGCATTCGAGCAAGAAAAGTAAATGTATTTTCAATGCAAAAGAAGTAGAATACCTATGATACAAAATTGATGCTGAAGGGTTACATCCTGTTGAAAGTAACGTCCGTGCTATAATGGAAGCACTCATTCCACGTAATGTCACAGATTACAGTCATATTTGGATTTTCTCAATTTCTATGGTCGTTTTGTGGGGTAATCTGTCTACCATGTTAGCCCCACTACACCTGTTACTAAACAAAAACACAAAATGGTTCTGGGGTAAAAAACAGGATGATGCTTTCAGGAAATCCAAAGAGTTGTTAAATACTTCAAGGTTGTTGGTTCATTATGATCCAAGTAAGGATTTGTTACTTGCATGTGATGCATCTCCTTATGGTATTGGAGCCGTACTCTCTCACATCACAAGTGAAGGCTCAGAGAAACCGATCGCATTCGTTTCGCGTACATTGGCACCAGCAGAAAAAAACTATTCACAGCTCGAAAAGGAGGGACTTGCAGTTGTATTTGGGGTTAAGAAATTTCATAATTATCTCTTTGGTAAGCACTTTAAAATATTGAGTGACCTTACAGTCATTATTTAATGAAGACAAAGGTGTACCAATTATGACCTCGCCACGAATACAACGATGAAGTTTAACATTGTCTGCATATGACTACACATTCGTGTATAGACCCGGAAAACTGATGGGTAAAGCAGATGCACTAAGTAGGTTACCGTTACCTGAAAGTCCACCAGAAATTCCTATGCCAACAGATACTGTATTATTAATGGAGTTCTTAGATGTTTCACCAGTGACTGCAAGTGATATTAAGAAATGGACAGACCGCGATCCAGTCCTATCACATGTTCGAAGATTTATTCATCATGGTTGGCCAGCGAGTATAAGGGTGGATGAATCAGAATTAAAGCCATATTTTGTCCGCAAAACAGAATTGAGTGTGCAAGACGACGTCATTCTTTGGGGAAGTAGAGTGATTGTGCCAGCACAGGGCCAATTACTACACGAGTCTCATCCTGGAATTGTCCGAATGAAGGTCTTTTCACGAAATTATGTTTGGTGGCCATATCTGGACAAGGATATTGAAGCTACTGTGCAGAGTTGTAATGCATGCCAGATCAATGCTAAACTACCACCCACAACGCCCATGCATCCATGGGAATATCCTAAAGGACCTTGGGATCGTGTTCACATTGACTTCGCAGGACCTTTCCTGAACCGAATGTTTCTCATTGTGACTGACGCTTATTCCAAGTGGATGGAGGTAATTCCAATTGTTAGTACAACATCAGAAGCTACAATAAATAAACTGAGAGGACTGTTCTCATCGCAGGGATTACCAACTACACTGGTATCAGACAACGGTTCCCAATTCACAAGCAGTGAATTTCAAGCATTTATGAATGCAAATGGTATTATCCATTTAACGTCTCCACCATATCATCCGGGATCAAATGGCCTGGCAAAACGATCGGTTCAGACGTTCAAAGAAAGAATGAAAAAGCCTTGTAGTGGGAGTGTGGAAACAAAGTTGTCAAGATTTCTGTTCAAATACAGTGACACCACACTCTACGACAGGTAAAACGCCTGCAGAGCTACTTATGGGACGAAAATTAAGACACATTTGGACTTACTACACCAAATGAGCGATGTGGCTGCTGTTGCCCGAGCAACCGAAACTTTGCTGCGTTCCCGCGCTTTGTTTAGCCTCGTTCACTTGTCGGCGTGCTATGTACACGTGAAAGACGTCTTCTTTCGAATTTTACTACAGGTTATACTAATAGGTACTGTAGTTTTGTTGTTTAGACTTGTTCCTGATTCTTTTAGTGCTCCCACTCGTTTATTTATCTCACGGCAGTTTTTGGTGTTGTGCGCGCTCTGTACGAGGATTGGGGCAGACGCCATTTTTCGCTTTCACTGGAAGTGAAACGCTCATTTCACTGCATCTAGTTTTCGTCTTTTTCGCTGCCCAAGTAACGTTTATGCTGCCAACGAGGTAGGTAACGTTTGAGGAGTTACTAGAGAATTACTTGAGAAGACTTTTGTTATGTTTAGACTTAGTTTGGTAGCCTTATCGATTTAGTTGATTTACGTTGGCGTAGTTTACATGCCGAGTCGCCGTCAGTTGTGTAGTTGAGTTGACACTCGTGTAGTTGAGTTTACACTCATCTAAGATTCTCAGTCGTTTTCTATACGATTATGCAAGTCACATTCCATGTACAGTTTTTAATCTATTCGTATGAGCTCAGATTCATGTATAACTTTACCA